CTGCTTTCCAAAGTGGTTGCACAAGTTTGCATTCCCACCAGCAATGGATGAGTGTACCCCTTTCTCCACAACCTCTCCAGCAAAGGCTATCATTGGTGTTTTTGATTTTAGCCATTCTGACAGGTGTAAGATGGTATCTTAAAGTTGTCTTGATTTGCATTTCCCTGATTGCTAAGTTGATGCTAAGTTGAGCATGACCTTAAGTGTCTTTTGGCCATTTGAACTTCTTCTGTTGAGAATTCTCTGTTCAGCTCAGTGCCCCATTTTTTAATTGGGTTAATTAGCATTTTAAAGTCTAGTTTCTTGAGTTCTTTATATATTTTGGAGATCAGATCTTTTTCTGTTGTGGGGTTGGTGAAGATCTCCCAGTCAGTAGTTTGCCTTTTTTTTTCTTAATGACAGTGTCTTTTCTAATAAAATTATCTTTTAGCTTATATAAATTTCCCAAAATAAATGGAGTTCGTGGTGATTTTTTTTACATGCATATGTTGTATTTTGATCCTACTTACTCTTTAATGCCCACTGAGAATCCCTTTCTCCCATCCACCTTGCCTTGTTCTCCCCCGGTTACAGTGTTAGTACCAATAGTCCCTTTGTCTTTTCAAGGTCTAGATACCACAAATTGGGAAAAGTGTGTAGCATTTATTCTTAGATTCTACATTATTTTGTTTAACTTGACTGTTTTCAACTCTACCCATTTTTTTTGCAAATGATATTTTGTTCTTGTTTATGGCTAAATAAAATTTCTACTGTATAATTATTTCAAACCATATGTATGTATGTATGTGCAACTTAGCTGTTTCTGGTTCTTTAACTTGGCCCCTTACTATAGCAGCCTTGTAAAAGGGAAAATTTCATAAGTAGAGGTCTTGTGGTGTATTATTACTTTTTTCCTACAGAGATTGTTACTGAACTTGTAATGTTTTGTCATTATTTTAGGAAGCAGTGGTTGCAACATATTCTGCCTTGACTCCCAAGTCCTTCCAACCAATTCTAGAGCCTGTTGCTGCTTCAAGTTTAGCTCAGAGACGGAGCATGAAAAAGCGAACATCCACTGGCTTGTAAGATTCATACTATTCCTCAGCTAACTGGATGAAGAGAAAATTAAATGTGTTGTGGGTTGGTTTGGTTTTGTTTGGTTTGGTTTTTGCCTAATCTTATATCAAGGGTATTTTTTTTCCTGCCACATTACTTGAATATTCTATATAAGCCTCTCTTTTGGGGGTTGGAATTTTAAACAAACATACATGGGTCCATAATATTCATACTGTGTCATTTTGCAGTAGTGTCCAATTGTTTAACTATATAATTGATGTCCACAAGGTCTTAAATTTTCTGAACATTAACTCACCAAATTCCTTTCAAACAAAGATAACCTCATAGTATTTTACACAAAAATAGTTTAAGGGATCATTAATATTAATCAAGATGCTTTTCATATGTTATAAATGTCATAATGCTAAACAATGATAGTATTTTTAACATCATATCCTGAAGAATAGCTTTTTTGATCTTAAAAGAAAAACAAAAGTATTCTAGTAGCTTGTGCATAGCCAAAGGACTCCTTTCAATTGAGTATGTTTAAATACTAAATGTAGTGAGAGTAGTTAGGTGCCAGAGCAAAATCCATATGTGCTAATATATGAATTCCTCATATGGTTGGTGCCAAAGTTTTGATAGAATAATTAGATCACTGATGATGTGTGCAAACTTATTTGTATATTATCCATAAGTGGCTTAAATCTAGAGAAATTTTCCATAAGGCTTCTAATGTTTTACAGCTAATGGAGTTGTAGTAAAAGTGAAGACATTTTTATTCAAAGGTTTCATGTTGAAATTTTATTCTCCTAAATATGTAATAGTTAAGCCTTTGAATATTAAGCACTTGGTGTTGATGCTATCTTAGTCTTACGTAAGCTGACTTTGAAGTTAACCAGTTGAATTAAGTCATCTTTTCCCTTTATAAATGGAGTTACACTATTGTATTTCTGCTTTCCATGTGATTTGAGCTGCAGTGTAGCATATTGATCTTCCTTGAATCCTATGGTGATGTAGTTGAAGTTTTATTATAGTGGACTTGCGCACCTAGCATATATGAGACCATATAGTATATTTCAGTAAGCATTAGATGATTCTACGTAATAGTTGTACTTCAAGAAGATACTCTAACATTTTAAATAAGAAACCAATATTAATGATTCACACAGAAATAGAGCACTTTTAGAAATCATATTTAAAATAAACCAACCAAATTGATTTTTAGTAAATTTATGGTACAGAACCACTGTATAATAGGTATTGTTTTCTTTAAATGCTGAAATTTTAATATATCATTTTATGTTGTCCTGGAAAATACCATTAACTACTAATACTGACAGAAATAATTCATGAATGTGAAGCTGGAGGCCATCAGTCTTGTTTAGTTAATAGAAATGTGTCCTTGTGTTGCTAGGTGTACTGGTTGCTGAGCATTTTACTTTCCTTAGTTCAGAAAGAACTGATTACTGAGTATACAAGTTAGGTTAGGAGACATGTAATGTTGGTATTTAATAAAACTATATGTATTCTCTTTAAAATGTAAGTGATCTGTATCCATGCACAAATATTTATTTTCTAAACATGATATATAAAAATATGTATTCTTAATTTGAGGTATTTTTTTAAAAAAGTAATTGAACAATATTAAATAACAGATAATCTGATACCACATAATAGCATTACTTAGTCTTAGAGTTATATTTGTGCATTTTGTGTTCCAGTTTGGTTCATTTTGGCCCTTTTTTGCTTATTACAATAAGCACTTGCATTTAAAAATTTGTGTTCATATACTTTGAGTTTGTGCTCCTGTCATTATCTCGTTTGTGCACTTACACATTCTTATCAGTGTTTTGTCAAACTCAAAGATATAATTTTGCTGTTGAATTTTTAGGACACATACTATTTCCATATGTACTTTCTCGCTAATAAAATTAGAGAAAATGAAACTAAAATAAAAAATGATCATAAAACGCCCTTTAGCCTTTGTATAAGTAATGGGTTAAAAAGATTACCATAATTTTCAGTTGTTTGCTCAGAGGGTTGTGTTGTACAGCCTGATTTGAAAGGACCACTAAGGATTAAGCAATGAATAGCATGCTTCCTTATCCCCTAGTGATTATTGACTGTGCAAAAGTTACAGGCATGCCAGAGCATTTGCCTAATTGTGAGAAACTTGCTGTTAGAAGTTTCAAATGTCCTAGCTCAACAAAACTAGCAGAAAAGACAACATTATTATAAAAGAAAGACATGGCAATGCCCTTGTTTTATCGAAGTAGGGTGCCTAATCATGTCCTTTATGGCTAGAATAAGTCCAAATGGAATGAATGAAGGTTCAAGTACTTCTCAAAAAAAAAAAAAAATAGAGTTCTTTAAATGAGTGACCAGTTAAAATAAACTTTCCATAAAACTTTAACATGCTATAGTTTCTAATGGGTTCTTTATTTTGCATTGTTTGGTAGACAGCAGCAAAATTTGAGGTAAAACTTGGAGATGTTTTATCATTCTGAAAAGAGGAAGATACTGAACTTATTTTTCTCAAAGAGAAAACATTGGAACATTGGGTGTACTAAGGTAGACTAAAAATCCATTGTCAAAAAAGCACATATTTTCACGAGTGAATATTCGGGAAACCGAAACCATTTGCAAGAAAATTAGGAAGCAGTATTGGTGACTGACTTTCTGCTTTCAGACTTTTTATCTTATTTTGTTAGGAATGACTTTTATTGTTATTATTATTTGTTTTATTTATTATTATTTATTTTATTACTATTGTTTTTTGTTTTCTGATTTCTTATTATTGGTAAGACACCAGGATCTTCTAAATAGCATCTCTGGTTATCTTGGAGGGATTGCATTTGTTTGGCACCCACAAAGTTAACAATGGGAGTTTGGTCTTTATGCTTTCCCACTGAAACATGTCAAAATAATACTGCTCATGGGAACCTACTTGTTATCACTTGATTAATAGTATGGTAACTAGAAGAGGTCCCTCATATATAAAGAAGAAAAAAGAAAAAACAATAAGGCAAGCTGAAAATAAGGCAAAGCTTAAACAGTTTGTCCTTTTTGTGCATTATCTTTCATCTAGTTTTCTAAACCCCTTACTATCCTATCTTATCTCCTCACAATAGTTCTTTACCATTAAGATTTACCAAGTCCTCAGAAGGATTCAGTGCTCCAAAAGGACCTTACTCCTTTCTTTTTTCCCCACATCAAGACTTCAAATTTAAGAACAGTAGAGTTCAGCTAACAAAGTAATGGGAAAGCTGTATCACTAAATTAATTCACATTTTCCTATTTGTGCCTAATAGAGAATTAGCATTTTCCAGTGAAGAACACTATTAATCAAATGTTTTTCTAGTTGCATGAATTTCAAACAATCTCATCAAACAAGGATACTTTTAAATTCAGTTATTTTTGAACTTTGGGGACTAAGGAATATACTCAGAATTTCCCAGGGTCAACTCATTCACTCAATCCAATGTTTCATATGTGTGGAGTGCCTTCCTTTCCATGCATTCGTTTTTTTTTTTTTGTCTCAAAATATTCCAAGCATTTTTACATTGTGAACTACTTCATATCAAAGTGGTATGGAGAGAGAAAATTATTGCTAGTCACTTCTTTACATGTTGTTAAACTCGTTATTTTGTATTTTAATTTCTTACAATACATAGTTAATAACATAAAGACATTTATTCAACCCACTGTTGTATTAATATAAAATAATCACAGAAATTCAATTGAAAACTATAAATGGGTCCCATTTCTAGACTCTTTGTTTAGATTTTAGGATTCAGATTCATTTTATTACTGTTTTTCAAAAATAAGGCAAGCCACAGTAAATCCAGATTGAGTAGTTACGTTTAAATTTATTTAGTGTCTTTTTCATTTCAATGCTTATTAGGATACTTTTAGTGTTTTTCTCGATATCAGTGATTGCTGAGATGATTTAAATGATTAATAATTGTGTTATCGGCAGGAATGTAATGTCAACAATAGTGATTATTCAGAACATCCATTATGCTCATGGACTGATTTTTCTTCCTTTTAGTCTTACAATCTGATAGAATCTATTCTATAATTTGTGTAAAATAATATTGCTTGACCATCTAAAATTCAACTTGATTTCTAATATGTAGAACACTTATGCTTGGATACACAGTAAATCTTAGATTGCAAGCATGTGTTTCTTTGGAATATGAAGAAAATTACAAAAAGAAAAGTACCTTTAAAACAAAGAAATTCAATATTGCTTACATTATATTAGAAAATATATACATTTTAGTTATTGATTAACAAAAAAAAACCCTTAAGCTAAATGTTTAGAAGTATATGTCTCTGAACATATACCAAGTAAAGGTTTGCTTTTTATTCTTATTTCTAAACCATGAACAATACCTCCTGGGAATGACAGTGTTGCTTTTCCTTTGTCTAGTTATGACTATTAGTTATTCTTGAAAATAGTTGTTAACTATCCAATTTTATTTGAGAGAGTTATAGAGAATATATTAATATGTACGTTTACTTATTAATAATTGATATTATCTGACTAATTTGTTGCCTTTTTCTTTTAATCAACTAATATTGCTCAGGTAGGAATTTACTTCTCACTTAAATTCTTTTTTCTCAAACCAATACCACTTATATCAAAAGTGTAAGCTTTTCTTAGTGCAGTAAAGTTATTTTTATCACCAGGAAAGAATAGGCAGAAGCCACCATTTTTAAGTCATACAGAAATTTTTAATTAAGTATCCAAATTCCAGCATGGTTTGTGTTTGAGATTTTATCTTGCATTATAATCCGTAATATAAAGGGGGGAAGTATGTGGCAAAACAGAAGTGATATTGTTAGTTATGTGTTGGCCAGGATTTATGCAAAGAGAACATAGTTTGCTACTACAATATCTTTAAAAATTCATTTTCTGCCACGTACAAAACACTTGGGAATTTATGTATCTGTCATTTTGATACGGAAATGTATATTCACTAGAGTTTCATTGCACTTTTCAACAGAAATGGTGTTA